CATTCCTGTTGTTTTGAGCCACCCGGTGGTTAATTTGTTATGGCAGGCCGAGGAATCAGATACACCCACCCAGGATCACAACGATTTGCTTTTTTCTTCCAGAAATTTCCATTTCACATTGGCATTTTTAAGTTTTAAAAATTTTTAAGTCTTTTTAAGTTTTTATTTAAATTCCAGCTAGTTAACATACGGTATCTATAATAATAGTTTCAGGTGTACAATATAGTGATTTCAGCACTTCCATACAACAGCCACTGCTCCTCACAAGTACACTCCTTAATCCCCATCACCTACTTCACCCATCTCCCTCCCCACACACACATTTAAAAAGTCTTATCCATTCTGAGTTTATTTTTGTGTATGATGTGATGTAATTTTTCCCATATGAATATCCACTTTACAGCGTCATTTTTAGAAGAGGCTGTCCTTTGCCCCATTGAATTACCTTGCTTTTGAAAATCAAGTGACCATAAATGTGTATGTCTATTTCTGGATCCTCTTCTGTTTCACTGATTTATAGGACTATCCTTAATGCTGATACCATCCCCTCTTCCCTCTTTCTGTGCCTTTATAACAAGTCTTAAAATCAGGTAGTATAAGTCCTCCAACTTTGTTGTTCTTAAAAATTATTTTGGCTCTGCTCAGTCCTTTACATTTCTATATAAATTGTAGAATCAGCCTGCCAGTTTCAACAACCAAAAAATACACTGAGTCTTCCAACCCATGGTGTATATATCTTCATTGTTCTATATCTTCAGTTTCTTTCCGTATTGTTTAAAATTTTCAGAATACTGTCTTGCATGTGCTTTGTCAAATTTATCCCTAAATGTTTCATATTTTTAATGCTACCACTAAAATGTTATTTCATTTTTCAGTTGTTTATCACGTGTCTAGAAATACGATTTTTAAAAAACCTGCAACCTTGCTAAATTTACTTGTTACTTTTAGTAGCTTTATTATAGATTTAGATTTTCTAAGTACGTGATCCATGATTACAGTTTTACTTCTTTCTTTCCAGTCTTCATGGCTTTTATTTCCTCTTAAGGCATTACTGCACTGGATAGGGGTTCTAAAAAAAATGTTGAGTGAAGGGTGGATCTTAGGGGGGTAAATGGCCATTCTTTCATCACTAAGCATGACGTTAGATGTAGGTTTTAGGTTTATCACAGCTGCTTTTTATCTGGTTGCCAAGTTCCCTCTTATTTTTTGTTTGTGGAAGTTTTAATCATGTTGGATTTTGTTAAGTGCTTTTTCTGTGTCAATTCAGGTGATCATACAGTTTTTCTCCTTTATTCTGTTAACATAGTGAATTACGTTACATTGATTTTCTAATGTTAAACCAAGCTTGCATTGGCTGTGATGTATTAGGGTATATTCTTTATATATGTATCAATGGGTTTAATTTGATAATATTTTGTTAAGGGTTTTTGACTCTGTTCTTGAGGGATGTTGATTTATAATTTAGTTTTCTTGAAATGTTTTTGCTTTTGGTATCAGGGTGATTCCGGTCTGGTAAAAGAAGTTAGGAGGTATTTCTATCTTCTGTTTTCTTTCAAGTTTGGTATTTCTTCCTTAAATGTTAGTAGAATTCATCTACATTGAGCCTAGGTTTTCTTTGTGGGAAGGTTTTTAAGTGCAATATCGGTTTAATAGAGATTGTTAGGGATCTTTTTGAATGAGATTTGGTAGTGTCCTTCCAGAAATTTATGTCCTGTGACAGTAGTCTCATTAAAATTATTCATAACAGTCCCTTATTATCCTTTTAATGTTTGTAGGATCTGTAGTGAGGTCCTCTCTTTCCTAATTTTGTTAGGTTCTTCTTAGTTTGGCTGAAGTTTTATCAGTTCGTTGTTGTTGTTTTTCCAAGGAACCAGCTTTTGGTTCACTGGTTGTTCTGTTTGTTTTATAAACTTCATTGTTTTCTGCTCTTAGTGCCTTCCTTTAGCTTACTTTGGGTTTAATTCACCCTTTATTTAAGGTAGAAACTTAGTAGGTCATTGAATTGAGACCTTCTTTCCCAATATAGACAAATATAAAGAAAATCAGAACAAAACAATGCAAAGGCAGTTAATGTATTGGGAATTAAAACTGAGTTTTTATTTTACCAATTTTCTGACATTTGCACTGTTGCTTTTCAAAGTTGTTTTCTTCTATAGCTTTTTAAAATTCTGATAAATAATACATGCTGTTGAAAAATTTCAAATTCTATGGAAATGTGTTCAGATAGGCCATAGGAAATAATCACAAAATCTTTGCAGCTTAATATGACAGACTTTAATTTCTTGCATATACCATACATCCACTGTGCATCATCAGGGGCTTTCTTCCACACAGTCACTCAAGGACCAAGGTTGAAAGAGGCCCCACCATTTCAAGCTGTACCATCTGGAACACATGGCCTCTTTATTCCCTGTGGCAGGAGAAGAGAACACTGAAGGGGCTGTCCTCTGCAATTAAATGCTTTGGCCTCATAACCCTTTGGCTAGAAATAGCCACATCATGGGCCCACCTAATTTTAAGTGTCAGGGAACTGAAATCTCCCTATGGTCCCAGAAGCAGAGAAGTAGGTAGGAGTGAGCACTGTAATTCTATACTCCAGGAAAAACAGATCACCTGTCATCTTACCCTGAGATAATCCCTACTTCCTGTCATCCTGCCTGGCCTCGCTGCCCTTCCTCATGGCCAGCCTTATGTTTGGGGTTGGTGGGAATTACTCCTGTGATCTGACGAATCATTGATTCATATTTTGTTGTGTTCTACCTTTGCAGCTCTTATGTGATGTTATCAGTATACAAATGAGACTTGGGGAGGGGCAAATCAAGAATCCTTTGCTAGCTTCCTTAGCAACAGGGAAATTCCAAGTTTCTTTTTAAAACCTTGCTTTAGAGTATCTCTGAAAGATAGACAAGTAACTGGTAACCATAGTTTTATCTAGGGAGGGAACTGGACTGGATAGGAGTTGGGAGTAAGGAGTGTTGAAAGAGTGGGCAGGATGAATAATTTTCACAGCATACACTTCTATAACTTGACTTTTATACCATGTAAATTATATTACCTATTTTTAAAAACAAGTTAAATAAAAACTTGTTTCCTGTATTTTCTTAACTTTCTATATTGAATTTCATTATACTATGTAAATGAATGAAAACATATTTCTTTAAAAGCTGTCAGATGATGTCATTTATATGGGGAATCTAAAACAAACAGAAAGTTCCACTCAGACACCAAGAGTGGAAAAGTAGTTACCAGGGGCTGGGGGGTAGGGGAAACAGGGAGAGGCTGGTAAAAGGGTACAAACTTTTTTTTTTTTTTTGTAAGATTTTTTATTTATTTGACAGAGAGAGACAGCGAGAGAGGGAATACAAGCAGGGGGAGTGGGAGAGGGAGAAGCAGGCTCCCTGAGCAGGGAGCCCGATGCGGGGCTCGATCCCAGGACCCTGGGATCATGACCTGAACCGAAGGCAGATGCTTAACGACTGAGCCACCCAGGTGCCCCAAAGGGTACAAACTTTTGAGTATAAGATGAATGAGGTCTGAGGATCTAATGTTTAACGTAGTGACTGTAACTGATAATACTGTACTGGATAACTGAAATTTGCTTAAGAGAGAAGAACTTAAATGCACTCAACGACGAGCAAAAATATGTGAGGTAAGTATCACAACTGATTACTTAATTTGACAGGGGGATCCTTTCAGTGTATATGTACACCAAATCATCATGGCATATGCTTTAAATGTCTTACAATTTTATTTGTCAATTATACCTCAATAAAGCTGGGAAAGAGAACACAGTAAAAAAAAAAAAAGTTGTCAGAGTTGAATGACATTTTATTTTTTAACTGAACTTTGACCTATCATCAAGCAAGGACCATATTTTGAAAGTTTCTTTACAGTTACCTTTTGAAGGAATAAAATTACATTATCCACATAGATTAGTTATGGTCCTTTGGGTATCAGTAATCACAGTCACTTTTATTTGGATGTTACCTTTTCAGAACTTTTTACATACTTAAGTTGATCCCTTTCTACATTTCCAGTTGTGAGTTGAGCCATAATGTAACTTACTGAAGAATATGAGCTTTGAATTCAGACCTGAGCTTGAATTTCAGCTCCCACATTTATCAGTCATCCACCCTCAGGAAATGGGCTTATTTACCCCTGCATCTGCTTCCTCATGGGGAAGAATATCTACCTTTTTGTGATTGTTGTAAGGGTTATTAGGTAAACGGTATGTAAACCCCTGAACAAGGCTCAGTATGGTATTTCTACTATAGGTTTTCTCCATTCATTGGCATCAGCAAATCTAGCTACAGTGCTAATTCCATTTTCTGTACAAGAGTAGACCAGAATGTTAACCCTGCTCCTCTTTATATACTGCTGTTTGATGCAAATGGTTCTGTCAGACTTCTCTGAGACTGCATAACACAACTCTTTGATTATAATATTATGTATTTTTATTCTCAAACTCTCATCATGTAACACATGACTTTGCAAAAGCTACATGATGTGTGATATTACAACTGATTACAGATGAGAAATTCAGCTGCCTGCTATTGAGCTGAACACCAAAGCAGTTTGTGACATGGGAAAAAATGCCACTCTGCTCACTAAATTTTTCCTTTTGGGAAAATATAATTTTTCATTAAAATGTTACTTATGTTACGTGCAACAAGTGTCAAAAGGTCCTGAAACCAAATAGTTTGAGAACTACTGGTTTAGACTCTGACGGCTAAGGGCAAAAACTGCAAGGCAAGCAAGACTTCTTTAAATAGATGCCATGTGATATGTACCCATATCTCAGGGTCTTTGGGGGCTTCAACCTAAATGTATCCCCTGTCTTCCTTTCCCCGGAAAAAAAGAATATAAGCAGTTAATTACTGGCTCTAATCCCACAGAAAGTTAGTTTTTCTAAGCAGAGAGTTGGAGCCAGTTAGATACACTGAAGTCCCACTACGACTGCTATTAATGATGGTTATTTATGTTTGCTATCTTTCACACAGAGCTTAGTTGCATGGCATTTTGGAATGCCAGGTACCAAAAGTGAGATTACTGAAGGCAGTAAAACTGAGATTATCAGCCAAGAAAGACCTACTGGAGAAAGCAAAGTAAGTATGTTAAGTGTCGTTGTGTTAAGAATTAATTGGGGTTTTTTGTTGTTTATTTGAGAGAGCTCAAGCAGGGGGAGGGACAGAGGAAGAGGGACAAGCAGAGTGGAGCTTGGAGCCCAACAGGGGCCACAGGGCTCGCTGGATCCCAGAAACCTGAGATCATGCCCTGAGCGGAAATCAAGAGTTAGACGCTTAACCGACTGAACCACCCAGGCGCCCCTGGGCTTTAAATAAGAACCCAGAGACTGATCCAGAAATCATGGTTTGTTTCCTGCTAATTCTTCTAAACTGGCCAGATCGCAGAGCAAGCCCAAAGATGCCTTAAAAGGACTTCCACATTAACTATTCACATTGTATGTGAAACATAGGAGTTGATTCATAGTTTAAAAAATCATTTGGGAAAAGAGCTGTATCTTCTAAAAATCTCTGGCTTCCTGCAGTTATGGTGAACATTCTTCAAGGGAAAATTCAGTACAGGTAGCCTATCAAAGGATTTTTTTTGTCTTGGGAGATTGTTTAAAGAACAAAATACTGGAATTTTGAATACTTTCAGTTTATGGGGAAGTGTGGCATAAAATTGGTATCATGAGAAAGTTTTGACTGGTTTCCAGGATCACGATATTCAGGAACCAGTGTAAAACGACTAGAACCTCGTGTTCCGATATCCTTCCTTTTGATTGCTTTTTATTGCCTCGAGTTGCGTATCCTCCCAGGGCCTTTTCCCCCTCATCTCTCGTTTCTTACAGCTTTCTGATTCTCTTACACATTCCATTGCAAACTTGTCTTTATTCTTCCACTCCTCTTCTAACGAGGTTCATGGCTGGTGCCTTGGGTGGTTATCGCTGATCATCCTTCTCCTCAGTTACTTTCTTCTTCCAATTAGCCTGCTTTTCTGTCCTTCCAGTTGGCCCCTCTCTCAGAGCCAGTGAAGAAATGGACACTCCGGAAATATCCCTTGGATGCTGACCACTTAAACATGGATTCCTTAGCTTTATTTAATTTCGGATGAGAGTTATAAAGGATAAAATTATTTTATACAGATAATTCTGTTTCTTTTATCCTGTATTTTTTTTAGATGGGTCTTTATAAATACGAACCTCCTCTATTTACCTTCTTCACACCCCTTCTAAACAACGTTGACTATTTAAAACAGCCTGTTTTTTTTTCTTGGCACAAGGAGGACGTCATATATTCTTCATCCCATCTGGGCTTCCTTATCCAAACACCACCACTTATAAAGCCAGTGGCATTTGTCAAGGTGGTAGCCATGAGTCTATGCCTTTGTACATCAAATCTGAATGGAGCTTTTTGGTAAAGGGTCAAGTTAAAGTATATATATAATTTGGAAAAAAATTGAGCATATAAAAGAACTTGTTTCATTGGTTCTTTTATAGTTATGAAAATAGGTATTAACTGATTTTTTATAACTGTCTTTATAGTTACTTTTTTATATACACGTGTGTATGTGTATATAATTTGTGTACCTTAGTAAGTCAGCTTATGAAATGGTAGATTTATAGCCATGACAGTGTGTTAAAGAAAAAATCATTCATGACCCTTGTTAAAGAACAGTAAGGCAGACTTTTATCCAGGACCTTTGTGCTAGGTGTAGGGACCACTACAATGGGATTTTGCAGTTGGGTAGAAAGATTGGGCTCAACTCTGAATACAACAAGGAATAGTAGGAATTTATAGCCAAGGAGCAAGGTGGAGGTGAGTGGGTGGAATATGACTGAGGAAACATCAGGGATAATAAGGGATTCTTGCTAAAGGCAGGACAGGGTGATAGGTCATCATTGGAAGATGGTGTGGGATAAGGAACCCAATCAGATATTGAAAGAGGTCAGATCCTGAGAATGACAAAGTCTGGCTAACCTCACTCAGCAGGATTCTTGATAAAGTTGGACAATGAAAAGATGAACATGGAAGCTCAAGAAATCAGTTGAACTCTCTTCTCAACAAGGATGGAAAGACTGTCAAGATAGGGTTCAGTCTGTAAAGAGAACGGATAGCCTTTCCTCACCCTGATCTTTTTTCTTTACCCTCAGACAATATCCTCAACTACTCCCTTGAAATTAATCATCATTTATCTGGTTTTAGGCAAATACAGGTTTTTTTACTTTTCAGACTTGATATTCCCTTACTTTTTACCTTTAAGTTTGAGAAATTCAGAGAAACCTATAACTCGATGAGTACCCTTTTAGTCTTTTTCTGTACATGCATAATGTCTTAATAATTAGATGTTGCTGCATAATTTTGTAACCTGCAATTCACTTAACATACTGTAGAAATTTATATTTTTTAACATGTAACAAATTCATTAGGCTTAACATTTAACAAGTACAAAAGAGGAAGAGTGAAAACTAAGTCTTCCTCCTATCTGGAGAAGCAGTTTTAATAGCTGCCTAACAGTATATCATAAGGATGTACCATGTATCATTTTTAACCCATCTCCAATTGTTGACATTTGTGAGTGGGTTTGTTACTATTTCATTATTTATGAACACTGGTGGAACAGCCTTACAGAAACAACTTTTGGTCAACCCTGTGATTTTTTTTTTTAATGATAAATTTTTCTTGAACTTCCTTCCATCCTTTGTTTTTATTATTATTATTTTTTTAAGTAATCTCTACCTCCAATGTGGGACCCAGACTCACTACCCTGAAATCAGAGTCGCAAGCTCTACCAACTGAGCCAGTCAGGCACCTTCCTTCCATCCTTTTTCTGATTTCTTCCCCTTTGACCTTTTTCATCTTTTTTTTCCTGCCTCCAAATGCCCTCAAGCCTCAACTCCTGTTCCTTGGCCTTTCCCTAGCAGTTCTTAATGTTCTCTGGTATCGATACTCAACCCCTGTTCCTTCCTCGGATTCCGTCATCTGTCCAGGTGCCATATCTGATTTTCTTTCCTTTACCTATGTCCCCAGTATTTTCAGCTTTACCATCTGCTTTTTATCTTCGAGTTTCAGAATGATGATCCTGCGGCGAAACGCTATCCTACATTTCTTTTTTTTTTTTTTTTTAAGATTTTATTTATTTATTTGAGAGAGAGAGAATGAGAGAGAGAGAACACATGAGAGGGGATAGGGTCAGAGGATGAAGCAGACTCCCTGCCGAGCAGGGAGCCCGACGCGGGACTCGATCCAGGGACTCCAGGATCATGACCTGAGCCAAAGGCAGTCGCTTAACCAACTGAGCCACCCAGGCGCCCGCTATCCTACATTTCACTGACAAAAAGAAAGCTGGGTGGATAATAATGTTCATGGTCTGGAGTCAGAGTAAAACTGGGTTAACAGCCATCAGTGATTGTTACTGTTATTCCTCTCAGGCTGCTATTTTAATCCTGTGTTTTGGTTCTGGTAGATAAAAGTACTTTTCTATCTCTACAACTTATTAAAACCTGTACTTTTACAGAAGTTGTAGCTTATATGTAAAATTTTGCTTATAGATCTGAGAGTTCTGGACCATCTGGGTCTCAAAAAATGACCAAAGTATACACATTCTTTCTGATCATATTCTGTATTACGAGAAATACAAATTCCTATTTATATATTTATAGTGGACCCTTGAACAACACCGGTTTGAAGTGCAAAGGTCCACTTATATGCAGATTTTTCCAATATGGGACAGTGCTATATATGTATTTTCCTTATGGTTTTCCTAATATTTTCTTTTCTCTAGCTTACTTTACTGTAAGAATACAGTAATGTAACACATATACAAAATATGTGTTAACTGACTTACCAGTAAGGTCAAGAGTAGGCTATTAGTAGTGAAGTTCTGGGGGAGTCAAAAGTTATATACCGATTTTTGACTGTACAGGGAATCAGCACCCCTTCCTTGTTCAAAAATCAACTGTAATTATTTGGGAAATGAGTGGATTAAATTAGTTCTTTGAGAATAAAGTTCTTTTTGTTTTGTTTTTTTAAAGATTTTACTTATTTGACATGGGGGGGGCCCAAGCAAGGGGAAGGGAAGAGGGAGAAGCAGGCTCCCCGCTGAGCAGAGAGCCCGATGCGGGGCTCGATCCCAGGACCCTGAGATCATACCTGAGCCGAAGGCAGACCTTTAACCGACTGAGCCACCCAGGCACCTGAGAATAAAGCTTTAAATTAGACATACCATGAGGTTTTCTTTTCGTTCTTCCTTACAGGGATGGAAGCGAAAGTGAAGCAGTGTTTTATCCTATGTACTTCGGCAGACCTTCTGCAATTCAGCTAAAACCATGACTGCTCTTTCTTCAGAGAACTGCTCTTTTCAGTACCAGTTACATCAAGCAAATCAGCCTCTAGATGGTAACTGTCTGCTATTCTTGATTATACTTGGGAAAATATTACTGAATATCCTCACATTAGGAATGAGAAGAAAAATCACCTATCAAAATTTTATGGAATATTTCTGCATTTCACTAGCGTTCATCGATCTTTTACTTTTAGTAAACATTTCCATTATATCCTATTTCAGGGATTTTGTATTTTTAGGCATTAGGTTTACTAAATACCACATCTGCCTATTTACTCAAATTATTTCTTTCACTTATGGTTTTCTGCATTATCCAGTTTTCCTGATAGCTTATATAGATTATTACCTGAATTTCTCCAAAACCACAAAGCTAGCATTTAAGTGTCAAAAATTATTTTATTTCTTTATAGTAATTTTAATTTGGATTTCAGTCCTTGCTTACGTTTTGGGAGATCCAGCTATCTACCAAAGCCTGAAGGCACAGAATGTTTATTCTTACCAGTGTCCTTTCTACATTAGCATTCAGAGTTACTGGCTGTCATTTTCCATGGTGGTGATTTTATTTATGGCTTTTCTAACCTCTTGGTCAGAAGTTACTGCCTTGGTACAGGCTGTTAGGATGACTTCCTATATGAATGAGACTATCCTGTATTTTCCCTTTTCATCCCATTGTAGTTATACTCTGAGCTCTAAAAAAACACTCTTGCCCAAGTTCATTATCTGTTTTCTTGGTACCTGGTTACCATTTGTACTACTTCAAGTAATTATCCTTTTACTTAAAGTACAGATTCCAGCATTTATTGAGATGAACATCCCGTGGTTGTACTTCGTCAATAGTTTTCTCATTGCTACAGTTTATTGGTTTAATTGTCACAAGCTTAATTTAAGAGACATCGCATTACCTGTGGATCCATTCGTCAACTGGAAATGCTGCTTCATTCCACTTACAATTCATAATCTTGAGCAAATTGAAAAGCCTATATCAATAATAATTTGTTAATGTTGCCATGTTAAAACTAAAACTGACAACTACAGTAGGAATCATAATTTTACAAAGGGAAAGGACATACAAAGATTGAACTGAACTGAACTGAGGCTCCCCTCCCCGGCCCCAACTTTCATACCTTTTCAGAATGTGTCTTTTGGGACTATGGTATTAAAAACAAAATAATTCCAAGAAAATTTTTTATACCTGTTCAGGAACACTGCGTGTTACCAATATTAATTTAACACAGAAGTGAAGCGAGTTAATATTTGGCCATACTGATTTCATGTTACCCAAAAAACTAGTGGATGCAAACTGTTATGTAAATCTGAGCTTCTCTGCCAGTGATATATAAATGTAAATAAACATTTTTATTAAATTCAGAGCAAGAAAATCAAGATCATTTTCTTAAAATTATTTGGTGTAAATATTCCTTTAACATAAAGGGAAAATTAGCTCAATTTAAATTTAGGTAATTTTCAAAACTCTCTCTCTGTTCTTAATACAGATATTCCTGGAAGAAAAGTTTTAGTTGCTCACCTTACAGAACCGGGGAGTAGTGACTAGGTCTCTTTCCATGACATACCAGATTCATTTTCATTTATAACTTATATGTCACATACTTGCATGTCAAATCATAATCACATGGGCAATGTATCACACTGTAAAAGTAAAGGAGGGTTTCTTATCCTCAGCACTGTTCACATTTTGGGTTGGATAATTCTTTGTTGTGGGAGACTGCCCTGTGCACTGCAGGGTCTTCGCCAGAGTAAAGCCATCTCAATGGCAGAAATCAACTGAAGTCACTTTGTTCAACTACGTAGATACTGTCTATAACTGTCACCATTTCTAAACTTCATCCCCTCTACTTCTCTGGGTTACTTTCCCTCTGACTGTACCACTTTCTAACTAACTGGCCATTACCTAGGACTGAGATACTTTAAAATATATTGTACTTAGTAAAGATTTACACTCTGCAGATTATAAATAGGCAAATTTGTAACTATTTCAAAGCCCTCATAAGCTTAAAGAAAAAATTATTCAATCGACCAGCCAAATGGAAGAGGCTTTTATTTGTAAAGAAATGAACTTACAACTGGTCTACAATATATTATTGTAATATAAACAATATAAATAAATGATCCTGTAGGCCCACTAACCTTCCATCCAGACCCACATGAGGCAATGTTAACAACAATATTCTATATGAAAATGTGCAGGTAACAAAGGTGCAATTACAAGCAAGTTTAAGCAGCAGAGTATAAGGTGCTTTAATTTAACAGTTAATGTTGCCATCAACAAACATTTGAATGCTCAATTTTACTTCACTGAATACAGACACAACAAATATGAAAATCTAAAATTCATACACATGCTACTTGTTAATATGAAAGTGCTTTCTCTTTTAAAAAAATACACCAAATGGACAGTCTTTTTACATAGATCATGATGTGCTCTTATAATGCAAAATTAACTTCATTTTCAGGTTATACATTTTAAAACTGTAGCTATAGACACCAATCTAGGAACGCTAATGCTAAGAGTGCTAAAACTATTTCATTTCCTGTAAGGAGGACTCTAATACAATATCCAGTGGAAAGAATACATCTATATATAATCTTAACATCTGTTTTTTGTAAAAGTAAAAAAGGTTTCCTTTCCCCTTGGTGATGCTTTGTTCAACCTGGGTAGATGAGCTTTTGAGGTTTTAGTAATATGAAAGTCCTATTTTAGAACAATGGGAGGAACCAAAAGGAATTTAAAAATCAGTTAATGTGTGCTTGAAGCATCAAAAAAAAATTACAACAATTTGCCTTTGTTAAATCAACAAAGTAACATTTTTTTTAACAAGCAAGAAGACAAAAAGCAGTAATTTAACAGAGGCTTGAAACGCCCACCCTCGCCTCTCCTGTCAGTACCCCTCCACACACTGTGTCTACAACTCCAGCCTTCACCACAGCTCACTCCTCACTCTGAGGATAGTTTTTAGAACTCACTTTGACTTTTTTTTCCTATGGAAAAAAACAAGACCAAGCTTCTGAATGAGGTGATTGGGAATCTAAGTGTACTGGCAATCAGACATCTATAATTATGCACACTGCATTAGCTTTTTAAAATTCAAGAATACATATACAAAAAGTATGCTATAGATATTTTAACACCATAAAATATTTGAAAAATTAGGTGAATGAAAACATTTTAAAAGTAAATTTTAACCAGGACCATGGAAAATTCTTTTAAACCCAGACTATTTGGTTACTTGGGTGTCAGTGTTCTATTTTCAATCAGTTTTAGATTCTAATCTAACATGTATTGGGACATTTTCCTGCTTTAAAAGCTGCAACGATGATGCATAAAAGATCTTCTTTAATATTAGGTATTTTTATTTTGAGGGGGTGAGGAAAAAAAGATATTTTCATTTTGTATCTTTATGGAGAATGCTAGCATGATGTTAATCTGTATTGCTGGAACAACAAGAATTAGAACATTTCACAGAACCCCCAAGTGGTAAGGAAATTACCCAGTTAATCAATGCCATTCAATATTTATTCTCCAAATAGCTGTCAATTCAAGCATGGAATGGTTTTATGTTGACCAGTTCTGCATTTTAAAGGAAACCCTTTTAACTATGTAATACATGTGTGCTTTCTAAAAAGTATTTGTAATAACAATAAATTTTGTGTAATTTCTTGCTTTATCAACAAAAGACAATAAAAAACAAACCTGTTTAGCGATCTCCTTTGAGACTTTTCAGTTTTAGAAAGTTACTCCACTGTCAGTACTGGGTGTAAAGCTTTTGTAGTTAACAAATGTATAGTAAATCAGCACCAGCTTCTTTCTTTGTATTGTTCTGTCACACACCCTGTATAGCAACACCTCTGGAATAGATTCAAGGGTCAAAATAATTCTGAGAAATATGAGCTGTCACAACAGTCTGAAAATGTAAATCCTTATCAGGTACCCTTGATTTTGTAACCGATAATCAGGTATATGATTGACTATGATTAGTATGTGAAATGTGTTTTAGGAATATTGTGCTGTGATTCACTCCGACCCCTTAGATGTCATCTAGCTTAATACTTTTATTTACCCCGGACATAAAAATTTCCCTCTCAGTTCCAACTTCACATTCAGTACAGTAAGTAATAGTAATAATAATGTCCATGTTTGTTTAAAGCCACAATCAGAATTGTTTGGGAAGATTTTGTGTACTTATTACCAGTTCCTTAAGTCATGTATACCACACATTGCACATAGTAAGTGTTCAAATGGTTTACTAAAATGAATGGATAAATGCATGAATGACAATGTTCATATGTATTTGTATGTTCAGTGGTTAACTAGTAGGAAGCATTTACAAAAATGCCCTCATTTGCTTGTCTGTACAATTTTCCTTCTCTACTTTAATCCGTAAGAGAACAAAAACTGCAGGTGGCCCAGGAAATGGATGCTTAACATTTATCTTGTAGCAAAAGCTCTTAGTATGAAATGAACTGTTCCAAAGGGAAGAGAGTAAGTAGAAGCAACTTTAAAAATACCCCATTATGTGGCCTAGAATCATAGTTTTAGAGCTGGGAGGTACCTTAAAGATGATTTAAACCAAAATCAGCCTTTTGAGTAGTAGAGGCTCCATACTGTGTATTCAGAAGATGGAACAGGTTAAAAGCAAAGGAAGGGCTGAAGGTGTCACACGCCACTAAGTCACCAACTGCAAGTAAAACTCCCAGCCCCCCAACCAGCATTTTATCTTCTTTCATTTAATGATTATGTTCATCTCTTATTTACTACTGAAGTAGACCATTTAGTACTACCTAAAACAAAAAGAATTAAGACTTTAACAACACATTCTAAATAAAGATTTTAAGCAATGGACACTTCTCGTTTGCTTGAGGCAAGACTAAAAAAAGTTCTTTCTAGAACAGATTCACGTTTATTTCACTACCAGCCCCACCACTATCCTATAAACACCAACTTCTTCACCTCCATTAATTAAAGCTCCACAAAACATGGGTTTAACACTGATAATAGTTCCTAGAGCATAACTTTTCAGCCAATAACTGATGGCTA